ACTTTTGGCACCCAATTTTAATAGTAGTGCTTGTACTTTGCTATACCAGTTTCCTTTTAGGAATTTCTTAAACCAAAACATGTATCTTCACTTGAACTTCCACAGGGCTTTGCATATGATTATAAGCTTCTTTTTAAATTACAGAGTATTCTACCTCCAGCCAAACTTGAACCATCAACCTTGTCTGTGAGAGAACAGAAGCTTATCCATTAAGCTATGGAACCCAAACCCCATAAGTACCTAAAATTAAAGATCATGTAAACAGAATAACATTGAAAATCAGGGTTTAAATAGGGGACCCACAAGCGGGTCTTAGATATGGCAATAAGTGGGGAACCTACGGACAGAACCCTTAAATAGACAATGACTAAAGTTGTAAGGGTGGCTTATTGTACCCTCGTTGATATGTTACTGTAAACCCTTCCATAAAATATGAACTGCAGATACTTTAATAATAAAGGAAAAACCCCGACCAATGAGGTCATTCTATCCGTAAAAAAAAAAAAAAAAATGCAGTGATGATTTATAATTATTATGCGGTTTCATAAAGCGAATTAATAGTTAAGGCAAGCAATTGACCAATCAAATAAAACCTTACAATTAAATTTTATCGAAGATCAAGCAATAACAATTCTAAATAATTGGATTAAATTTTATGAAATGTTATTATTAATTTTTAATAATCACCAAATCGAAAAAATCCGCCCGCATGACCCATTTCTAGGTGCAGATTGATCAAGATCAGCGAATTTCTACAAGACCGACAAATTTATTTTTACAAGGGATTTCATGTACGTACACGGATATCAATATATAGAAATTAAAAAATCATTTATTAAAATTCCTTGTGAAATTTTGGTATAGGCTATTCCCCCTTCGTTCTATACAAATTGTTTTGATTTACGCGTTACATGGATTTGCAAATTAATACCCGTATTCAAATTTAGATATATATATTATAAATGAGGTTATAGGTTTCATAATATCTAAAATTCAAAGGGTGTACAGTAAATTTAGGAAATTTCTATTTTTGAATTACTTATGATGCATGTAGTTTAATATATTTATTGTTAATTCGGAATCGTTTAATAAAAAGTGTAAAAAAGTGTGAAAAATAAGTTTTTAAAACTATGATTTGTAAAAAAAATATGAACGTTGAAAACAAATGTGAAGTTTATACAAAAAAAATTTTCAAAATCTTTTATTAGGCCACACAAATTTAATTTACTATATTGGTTCTCGTAACATAAAATTTTTAGAATAGACCCGGCCGGCTGACTTTTTTTTTAATTTTATATATAACAATTTATAAATTTTTCTAAAAAAAATTTTTTTTTAAAAGTTCACCCGGTTATTGAAACATATTAAAAATTTTCAAAATTTGATCTGGCCGGGTTATGAGAACCAATTAATTAATTTTGCATGGCCTTACTTATGTAATTATCATAGTGAGCCAGCAGAAGAGTACAGAATCTAAACGGCACTATACTGATTGTAATCAGATAATTATAATTAAACATGAAAAATCCTAATATAGTTTATCGTTCTCGTATTTAAGTATGGGCATTCGATCTTGTTTTTTCACGATAAAAGAAATGGTTCGAATAAAATTTTGTACCAATTTGAAAGTGACTTTGTATGAAAAAAAAAACCAGATAAAATTTATTGTATGCTGAATAATGAAGGATGTTAAAATTTTAAATTTACAGTCAAACCCCTATAAATGAAATGAAATGAAATGTAGTGGGACAAAAAAAATTGATAAACATGCATTTAGAGAAAGGTATTGCATTTAAAATGTTAAACCCACAAATGTTATATTATTTGAGGACGTACATCTAGAAAATATTTTTATAAATAAAAATATACATTTATGAAGGTTGAATTTAGAGAGGTTTGAGTAACTTTGACGGAATGAAAAAAGAAAATGGATGATTTAAAATAAAATAAAATAAAATAAAAACCCAAAAATGCTTATGTTAAAATATAAATATATAATATTTTTGAAATGCATAATATCAATACTATTGTTTTGCTTATGATCACCATTCGGTAAGTAGTAAAACATGACACTAATAATGAACAGAATAAAACAATAAATATCTCGTTAGATGGTTTTTATGATTACAGTCAACTATCGGTATAATGGAAGACCGGACTGGCCTAAAAGTTCCGTTATACAGCATATAACGGGAGCGACCGTTCAAATACGTACGTACGTTCGTACGTAGATAATTCCGAATAGTTACACATGATAAATAAATTTGTTTTTTTACGTATTACAATACTTCTTTTAAAAGCTCGGGTAGCTTAACTTTCTATGAAAAGAGTAAATTTAACGGATGAATTAATGGTTTCGCTTCGCTTTATAACATATTCTTTGAACCCTCATGAATCTTAACTTTTTTTTTTTGCAACCTGATTGGCCGATTTGCTATTATTGGTTGAAAACATGTGTAACTAAATCGGAATCATCTACGTATTTAAACGGTCGCTCCTTATAGTATATTCGTTAAATCTATATAACGAAATAGGCTTGACAGATATGAAATTCTATTATGGACCTAATTCAAGCGAGACATTTTAATAACCATTAGTGATATCTCATGATATTAAATTCGCTATATTGGGTTAGTGATTAAATAATAATAAAATTAGTAAGTGGACTGGCAAAAATGTCTATTATATATAATATGACATTTTTGCTATTGAATTCGTTATAGCCGTTCTAAATTTCCTATTAGAACATTTGGTACTTCAAATTTAGTCCTTTAACCCGGTGGATCCGGTGTAAGGGTTTTTCGTTATATCGATAATTGACTATATATATATATATATTTATAAAAGGGATAACTCAAAAAATGAATGAATCTTACTTTTTAAAAACACCCATTACTCCAAAAATTCCAATGAGCCTAAAAAATTTCACACTCATTTTGATTCGAATAATATTTTAATAATTTGATGGTTATGTAGACCCATCGGTAACCATTTTGGTAACTCTCACGGATCCGTCAATCGCGCCAGTTAATACGGAATTTCCAAACATAGTTGTCCAATCAACAACTGTTAATGGCGAACTATGTGGTGCTAATAATTGAACCTGATTTCCTGTTGAGGTCTATTTTACCAAAAACAGTTAAATAATTTGCGTAAAATAAATACCAATTAATTTGAAGATATCTTACTTGATAAATAACTCCCTGAAATCCATTGCCGCCAACACACAAAACATGTTTTGTATCACTACTAAACGAAACCATAGGTACTTTATTCAAACTTCCATTGTTTGTAAAACCATTAGTTCCACCATTTGTCAATCCACCTCCAATTACGTTAGTTATTAAATTGTAACTTCCATTAAAAGACTTGTTAGATTTAGTAGATTTAATTGAAGACATTGAAGATGTCCTCTTACGAAACGACGGTTTTGTTAATGTCGCATGATTTATTGATACCGAAGAAGGTGGAAAACCAGAAAGATGAGATTGAGAGATTATTGAGCCCGGTTTGTGAATGGACCATTGCGTTAGCTATATAAGTGAATTATTTATATATGAATAAAATGTCTATGTAAATGTATGTAAATATGACTTTATACAGGTTTAAACCTTACATCACCAGCCTCGTCAACAACATATACGGTGTTTTCATCAAAACTAAATCGTGATGAATAAATAGCACTATTTCCTTTTTTGCTTGGATAAGTGTTTATTATTTTCGGTAAACACCATTCCATTATAGGCTTGAAAGATCGAATATCTATCATTATAATTTAAAATAGATTAGTTTATTAAGTTATACATTATGAAAATAAAATTTTTATCGAAATGAATAAAAATATCATATTATAAAGTAAATACGTACCAAATATACGTACACATCCAGCTTTATCACCAGTAACAAGCATCTGACCGTTGTGATTGAATTGTAGGGTCTCTATAGGAACTACAGGCAGTCCTGAAGCTTTTGATATAGATGGTTCAAGCGTAAATTTGTCCTATAACGTTAAAATATATGTAAATAAAATTAAATAAACAAAATTTCATTCATATATTATCCGCCTAGATTGTATATTTTATATCCATAATAAATAATTCATACTTGTATCATCATTGTCTTTAAATTCCATGTTATCAATGATCCATTAACATTATTCAGTCCATCAACAACTCCCTTAGGTGAACTTGAACATGCAAATAATGGTTCTACTGGTGAACAATTTATCTGTTTTACCCTATAGCATTATTATAATATTATTTGTGATACAATATAATTAAAAAGTAAAATTTAATATCTTCACTATTACGTACCTTGGAAATTGTTCATCCATTTGAAACTCATGAACAATAGATTGAGACTCTTTATTATATATTTTAACAAATCTTTCATCTGTGCCCATTAAAAACTGTTAACAATTATTATTTATATGTTAGATTGATACATTTCAACATTAATGCAATATTCAAGCCTTATGACAGCTATACTATTGAGAATCCGAATCCTCTAAAATCCAAAACAAGAAAAAAAAACATACAAGCCTATCAGATCTAGATTCCCATTCAAGGCATGATACATTTAAATTAAGATTATCGATCTTGTGTTTAATTGATGCACCGGCATAGCTCCATATACTATTCATATTGACATTAAAATTAATTATCTTGAATTGTTCTCTATAATCAGAGCTGGTCAATCTTGACC